CCAAAATGTTCTTTTAAAGTTGTGGATGAGCTTTCCCAAGAGTTTCCTAAGCATCCCTTCAAAATTTGACCTTATTCAAAGCTTGAGTAGGCATAACCGTCGATCTCGCCGTCGGCGACCTTGAGGGGGTCGTCGGCGGCCTTGAGGGCGCTGTCGGCGGGCTTCTGAAGAATTTTGTCCTGTACTCGATAGTCTCAGGAAAACTCATCATCGGCGGGGTAGAAGGCGCCGTCGGCGGCCTAGTTCAAATCTTCACATTTTGGGAAATTTCGCTCCCAACTCGCTCCGCTCCAAATTCGCTCCTTTTTATATATTTTTGCTCCAATGACCCTAATTCATCATTCCTGTAACAAACATCAAAAATACATTTCTTTAAAGTGCAATATCATTAAAAATAATATAAAATAGGTATGAAAATCTCAACATATTTTCCTTTGGTCATAAATCAACACAATATTTAACTTTCAAAAGTTGATCCCAAAGAGAACTAGCACTCTTAAATTTCTCCCAAAGCTTCATAAAAATGATTTTCATAGTCATCTTAACGGTTCTAAAACACAACCCCCCTTTAATTCATGGCTTGCAGACCTCATCCCAAGAAGTCTAGTGCATCCTAAATGTTTTAGCTGACCATAAGAACTTATTGAACTGCTTCTCAAGTTTGATATAAGTATCCTAAGGCATCTTCTTAATTTTCATTGTATATAAGGGGATGGAGGTAATTATGCTTTTAATTTGAGTAATCTTGAAACCATGCAATAAGAAAACCTTCTCCTAAGATTGAATTCTAGACAAGATCTTCTGAAATAAACATTCAAAAAATTGCTACTTCTTTCTACCTTTATCCATAACAAACTTATAATATGATAATGGGAAGTCCCTTTTAAATCAACCTATAATATCATCATTCTAATTTCTTTTAACTTGAGGGATATCTTTGGCACAAATAAAGTTGTACTTAGCCATGTTAAACCTGAAACAACCTCAAAATGCTCGATAACCTTTCAAAGTATTCTGATAGATTGTTTATTAGAGTTTTCAAATATGATATGTTCATCAGCATAAGCAATGTGAGATATTCACAGACAACATTTAATATTAAAATACATAGCACAATTTTTATAAAATACATTATTCAAACACCTGGACATGTAATTAAATGCAATGATAAATAAAGTGGGAGACAAAGGATTCCCCTGCTTGATGCCTCTTGAGGCTTTAAATGCCTATGATTAGTCCCATTGATAAGTAATGAGTAGTAAATATTGTCAAAATTCTATGCATCAACTTATAAAAGATAACATTTAAACCCACAGCTTCTAATACCTTCAAAATGAACTTCCAATCAATATTATCATATGTCTATCTTATATCCATTTTAAATATCACATTACCACCTAATGTACCAAAACTAACCGAGAAGTAAGTTGGTCTGACAATGGAAGTGCTTGTGTCAAGTAGTATGTGTTCTAAGAGTTTGCGTGTCGATTCCATGAAGTAGGGTTTAACAATTATTCCTACAGAAAAATCTCTAGTTCTAATCTTGTGAATCTAGCTGAATCTAGCTTGAAGGAATCATAAAAGTGGTTTGAATCCTAAAATCCTAATACAACAAATCATATAGCAGATGATTGAAAACACAGAAAATGAGAAAAATCTTAAGAGTTCTTTAAAATTAATGAGGTTCGTCTTTCTATGATTGGGCGATCATAGTGGATTGCGGTGTTTCTAAATATTTTCCTACATGATAGTTGAATACCAGGGCTATAAGTTCTACTTATGCCCAAGTCTAGGTAAAAACAAAGACTAGAGTCCATGAGGTTGAATCTTCCTCAATCTCCATGACATTCAACAATAAATGTTCTTATCCTCCGAAAAGCTTGTAGAATCATACTGGAATATGTCCAGTCTCTTAGGATTCTATGGTTAACCCTTTCTTTTCTACTACGAAATGGTTAGAGGTCACTGCTTCACTAACTATTTTAATATCCTAGTTGGCTAAAAAAGAAGTATTTAAAGCTCATAGGTTAACCAACAACATAGGCTATGAAAGCACAAAAAAAACTATAAAGAAAAACAACTTATAAAGTCATGATCAAGATCACTATTCATACATCACAGAGACACAAAGAAAAATTTAGTCATGCGTCGTCAAGAACACCATAACAAAAATAACTATGCACAAATTTATTGCAAGAAACAAAGATAAGTTACACTTACAATCAACTTATCTCCTCCACAATATTAGTAACTCTCCCTCTAATACAAAACTTCCCTCAAACTCTCAAGAATATAAGATGAAACTTAGCCCAAAGAATTCAACCCAAGAAAGGAAGAAAAACTAAGGGGAACACTCAAGAATTTCTCCTAATATGTCTCTCTAACCATCCCAAAACTCTTCTTCTCTCAAGGAAGCCCTAAAACTCTTTATTATAGCAAAATATACAAATTTGGTAACCATTTTACGTTCTAAAAATGATTTGGTGTGGTCAAGGCTTGTTTCTAAACCAGGTGACATTGCCATGCTCAACCTCGACATTATCACGCCACAAGTATGCAAGTATGGCATGGTCACACCTCTTTCAGGCGTGGTCACGTTACTTTAGGTTGTTTTTTCGTTAAATTTTATCATAATTCTAAAATATTTGTATTCCTCACCTGCAACCTGCACAACATCAACAAAAGTTTTTCTCAACTGGAAATATGTGATAAAATCATAAAAACAACAAGTAAAATGTGGTATAAAATGCAGGTTAAATTACATAAAATTGACTCATGTCACCACATCTAACTTTTGTATCTAGGTCCATCACCATTTCTTGAGAAGTAGGAGAATTATCATTGATGTTTCCCCCCTTAATAAAAGTTTTCTACTAGGGACTCTTTACCTTATGTATATGTAGTTGCAGTATACCAACAATAATTTTAGCAAAAATTTAAGTGAACAGTTTTGTCTCATTTTGCTTCGGTCTGATTTGTCTCTTCGATTGGCCCACTCATTTTGTCAGGAATTTGGTGGAACATGTCGTTGCCTTCTCAGGGTAACCATCAAAACTTGCTATTGGAAGGAGAACCTCAAGAACTACATCAATGTTGAGCTTCGAGACTGACTTTTTGATGTTTGGCATTATGGATCAGCTTTGCTCATATAAGATGTATATAGTGTCGATGTCGGTCATATGTTTTTTTATTTTATCATTTATCTCACTTCTTTCACTCATCAAGGTCTAAGTTATTTGGTCAAATTATTGACTCGATTGGGCCACATTTTTTGTCAGGTCATAGGCATATATTGTTGTTGCCTTTGCAGAGCAACTGCCAAGGTTTGCTATTGGGGTGATTTACACCTTACCCTTCTTGAAGCTTGTCTCTATCAGCTAGGAAACCACCTCCAGAACATTATCCAATTCAAGCTCAGAGACCAAGAATTTTTTATGTGGGATTGGGAAATATTCTACCTATTGGACCTCTTTGAGGTCACCATCAGCGTGGTTTCTTGGATTCAAGTTCCTCAAGTGCCAATTTGATCCAGGAGGACATTAAAGAGATTCGTCATAAAAATAGAAAAGTTTTTGAAATAATACTCCCTTTAAGCGTTTAGTAGGGTATCGGTCGGCTGGGATAGGCCAAGCAGTGTGCTAGTATGGTTGATTGGTTCTTTTCGATCGTCGAGAGCCAAACATCCTTTTTGAGGTATTCGCCTCCTAGCCCAAGTCACTAAGAAGAAAATGGAAATAATGTTTCAGACTCCAGATCTGTTGCATGAACTCTTTATCATGTTCCCTATTTAAGAGTCTTTGAGATCCATTTCTCCTCGTTGGTGTCACTTACATTCTTTTTTAGAGCACGCTTCACACTCACTTCACCTTTTACAATTTTGAATATAAATTTGTCATGTAAGGCATGCCCAAGAATCATAACGGTGGGACCTTAAGGGAGAAGTTGAGAGAGAAAAAAAAAATAAAAGAGCACATATAGACTTTCCCCATAAGCGCAAACTGTGGTATTCCCGGGCTCTATGACCATTTTTTAATATTGTAACTAAATGGCTATAAGAGAGAGGGGAAGAGAGATCGCCTTACGGAATGGGTCTAGAGAGAAGAGTCCAAAAAACATATATTTCATGATATGAACCAATATTTATGGAAGATAGAGGATCATAAAGAGAAAAATTACCTATATGTCCCTACTTTAATTGAGGTGTTACATTGTACTACTATCTTTTTTGTGCCTTTAATATTTATAAATGATTTTGACATCCTTTAATGTGCCAGTCGATCTTCGCTATAGAGAGCCGGTCGATTTTGAGAGAGGAATTCAGTCGGTCTTAAGGTGTTCGGTCGAGTTTCTTATTAGTTATTTATCTTTAGGGGATTTAATGGAGAGTTGTTGGTGTGAATGTTTGTATCGTCTCGGTTGATCATCATCATTCGATTGGCTACTATTGGTATGCTGACAGTTTTTCAGCCGGTCTGCTGACAGTTCTTCAGCCGGTCTGTTTTATTAGTACTTCTAGCTTTTCATCGGGGGATATTTTTTTTTAATATAGACCGTTAGTTGCATCGGGATTCATGCAGGCCAATCTTGGATGTACATATTGTGTTATATTTTCATCCAATTAAATGCAACTTTAAAATTTTTATATTTGGTTGATTCACATAAGGTAGGGAACTAAAAAATACCAAAGATTGGAGGAATATCTAGGGTTTTCGTAGGCGCGCTTCGGTTGATATCGTAATTCTTTGGGTCGTTTCCGTGTTTCCTCCCTCAAATTCCGAGATGGGTCAGCGGTGGAGATCCAGAGAACAAGCGAGCGAGATGGGAGATGAAGACAGCGCCGGTGATGCAGTGATCCTTCTAAGCAGCGACGATCAGGAGGCCAACGAAGATCTTAGCTTGGCGATAGTAGCTAAAGCTCGCCTACGCGAGGCCAAGCGGAATAGGGCCAAGGATAAAGAGAAATGTCGGGCGTTTTTCATAGATCTCTCCACTTCTTCGGCTGACGAAGTTGAGGTTGTTCGTGATGGAATAGCCGCCGGTAGAAGGGAGGGGGTTGTGGTGGGCACGAAAGAGGAAGTCAAGAGGAAGCGGAAGAGCAAGCCGAAGAAGAAGGCGAAGAAGGAAGTTGATTATGTACTTGTAACAGTATGTTTTTTCCTTATTCTTAAGAAAGAGTTTTTGTTTAATCATTATGCCTGCAGGTGGGTTGAAGGTTTTTTTTAGATATATAACATGCTTATTCTGTGATTTGGTCATTTGTAATAGAAACTGGAGTACCCTTTTCTAATGAATTGGTACTAATCATGTGGTCCATGTTAAATTTGTGAGTTCTGGAATGAATGAAGGGCTGGCCATTTGATTGTAGGAACAGCCTGATGCTCCTGAGGCTGAGAAAGAGGAACCAGCTGGAACTTCTGATTCTGTGATAGAAGTCGGCACTGAAAAATCCAATAACCTAGTCTTGAGAAAGCTTCTGGTAAGAGTTTCTTTCTTGTTTTAAATTGTAATGTTCTGTAAATTAGATTTCTTAACTACAAACTATTTGTTCTCTCCACTTCATTTTCTGTCTTCTATTTGGTAGCGTGGCCCAAGATACTTTGATCCGGGTCCTGTCAATTGGGAGACTTGCTATAACTGCGGAGAGGAAGGTCATACAGCTGCAAACTGCATGGAGGAGAGGCGACAGAAGCCTTGTTTTGTCTGTGGGAAGTTTGGTCACATTGGGAAGCACTGCATGCAGGTAATATTGAGAAGCAAGTTTCTTAACAATTAGGAAAGACATGTAAGTTTTTCTTGAGCTTTTTGCTTCGCTCTGAATTTGGGCTTGTCCGTTTGATGTTGGTCTTATTTTTCATCAAATTGTAGCTTAATGCCAACCCTATTAATCTCTTAGTTTATGAGGGTCAGAATAACATAATGTTGTTTTTCTAACTTCATTGTCATAACTTCGGGACAGCCAGAGATCATTGGAAACTGAATTATTCTTTATTTTTTACCAAACTTTTCGTGAATTGTCATTTTGCTCAACTTTCTTATAGTTAATGTCCTAGTTTGCTTCTTTAAAGGCTGTAGGGAGCGTGGGTGTGTGATCAGGGCTCTATGCTTACTTATAGAAGTTTGTTTATCCTTTTTTTATCTAATTAAAAATATATATATTTGTTTTTGAGCTTCTAAAATGAAATTTTTGCAGTTGAATTCTAAAACTAATGGAGATATAAATAATAGAGAGCAAGTTGCAATCATAACAGACCCAAGACATGACCATTTGCGTTTGATTTTTTTTATCCATCTTTGGTTTATTTGTTCTGTTTCATTGCATTAGCAATAGATTCACACTAAGAGATGCTTTTTCTCTTCTTGGACGGTTACAACATGCACTTTCCTAAATTTTATATGGTATACGGAGTAGATTTTATGCCTGTTTTCAAGTCACTTTATACTGCTCTTTGAAAGAAAGATTGAAAACTGAGTAGAAGGTATGTACTTTCTATTTACCGATGTACCGTAGAATTCCTGTTATACTACACTCTTTGGTTTAGAGTTGGAAACACAGTAAAAAATCTCAAGATTCCAGCTGCGAGTGCTCACCTTGTGGACATTGTTTTAGCGTAGACTTTTTTTTTATTTCTGCTCATTTTTTTGTGTTTTTTATCTCTTTGACAAAATTTTTTCATTAATGTACTGGAATTAACGTTTATTTGATCTTTTGCAGGGACAAGACTGCTTTGTCTGCAAAAGAAAGGGCCATCATGCAAAGGAGTGCCCGGATAAGCGCAAAAACAATTCCGATGAATCCATAAGCATAATATGCTTACGTTGTGGAGATCTAGGACATGATATGGCATTCTGCAGAAAAGATTACGCATCTAGTGATATCAAGGTTAATGATGATTTAAGAACCCTCTTGATACTTTTTCTATTTATATATTCAAGTTTCCATAAATGCCAACAACAAGAATTGGGACTTCTTCGCCACATTTTTGGAAAGTGAATTGCAATGATTGAAGTTTAAGTGATGAAATTTTTCTGTAATACATATGTCTACTTCAAATCCACAGGAAATACGATGTTACATTTGCAAGCAATATGGTCATCTGTGCTGTGTTGATTACAAGGACAATGGTCCAATTGAAATATCTTGTTACAATTGTGCTGAGTTTGGTCATACTGGCCAAGTGAGCTGACTGGCTACTTTATTTTCTTCATCAATATTTCTATGTCCTTGATTTCCTGAATACTTTAATTACTAAATTCTTTGATTAAACTCAATTTTTAAGGGTTGTGCAAAACAACGGTGTGAAACTACTGTTATGACACCCACTCTTTGCTACAAATGTGGTCAAGAAGGGCATTTTGCAAGGGGTTGCACAAATAAACTAAAGGTGACTTTGATACACCTTGCTCATTTGTAGCTTTCATTGCAGTTTATGGTCTTAAGTTTTTTAACTTAGGCAAATTTTTGCTTCTTAGTCTGTGAAGCGTCTCGGAGAGTCATCTATGCCTATTAGTCAATTAAAAGCTAAAAAAGATGCTAAAGTGTCAAAGTCCCTACCTCGCGATTTTGGGAGAGAGCATAGAAAGAAAAGCTCTTACTGTGATAAGAGCACGAGAACTATGAAGTCTAAGGGTGGCTGGATTGTTGACGATATAGGTTACTTGCCTAGAAAGATACAAAGAACAAAGGCTTGGGCATCTCCCACCACACCATCAGATATGACTAACAGGTTTCAGCCAGCATCTTCTGTGAGCCGCTATTCTGGCTATTCGAGCTTTTCGAGTCCGCACACACCACATCTGAAGTATAATGGTCACTTAGGAACTCCAATCTCACGTGTTTATACTGGCAGTTACCATCATGATTCTACAGGCAGTTACCATCATGGTTCTTCAGGCAGTTACCATCATGATTTTTCTGTCTCAAGATTTGGGTACTCTTATGGTTACTATGGTTGAGTTTTGGCTGTAAAGTGTGCTGCACAGCTGGAACCGTCCTTTGTTAAGTTCTGTGGTTTCATCCTCCAATTCATTGAAACAGTGAGTACTTAGCATTTGCTTGCTTAGAATTCATGATCTGGTCATGTATGGATTCTCTGTTAAGTAGTAATGATATGAAAAAAAAGTCTACTTAGCTCAAGTTGTTTCTGGCCACTGTGGTTTATGGAAACAACTAAATTGGATGCATTCCTACCCTTTTTTTGTAGTAACTCATGACCTTTAAATTGTAATGTAACCTACCCTGTATCTTAGTGATTATAATAATACATATATAATTCCAAACTGTTTTTGGTTAGTCTTGTAAAGGTATGAATAATATTGTGATCTTGCTAAGTTTTGGCTAATATTGTTGTTATTCAGCCTAACTTGTTTCACTGTTTCAAGTGCACACTGGAGGACTTGTCTATGAAGCGATATATTTGCTTGCTGTTTTGGCTCAGGATTTGTCTGAAGTATATGATTTTCAATCCTCGCAGGTTTCTACAAAAGAATTTGTGATTGGATGGATTCCCCCATATTGTTGGATGAGAATTGGCGCTTTGCCATTCGTGAGATTACAGGACTGGTTACATTTATATTTGTTTTTGTTTTTTTTTTTTCGAATCTTCAAGTGAGTAGAGATAAATTAGTTTATCCAGTTCATTCTGTCTATTTGTACATTATATATGATTTGTTGTTTTTAATGTGTTAGATATTCTCGTATTTGATTTGTTAAGTAGCTCATGTTTGAAGCTCCATCTGTAAATGAGCTTTAACACGAATAGTTTGTGTAAGCATCAAAATTTTTTTCTTCTTTGCTCAATATCTTATCGGCTTCCCAAATCATGATATTTTCCTTTTCATCTAGTCTAACTCCTACCGTCTTCCCAATTTATGTGATTGACCCGCACCTCTCCGCGCTATAAGAGTGCAGCATGGGCTATGGCGCCGCCGAACAACCTTTATCGTTCTCCCTGCTCCCTCCCTAATAGTTTTGACCGAAACTATCAGCTTTGCGATCGAACCTTTGTGGTATAGTCGGATTTAGGGAAAAAATTTACGTGCGATAGACGTACGCAGCGTTGCGTGTGATATTGGGGTATACCGAGGGTATAAGGGGGTTACATCCACGGTATAAACCCTTGTAACCTCCCTGCAATTTACGTGTAACCTCTTAATATATGATAACATAAGCGTGAAACTTATTTTAGGGTACAGATAGGTTACAAAAAGTTGCAGGGAGGTTACAAGTGGTTATACTGCGGATGTAACCCCTTTGTACCCTTGGTATAACCCCAATCGCACGCAGCGCTGCGTACGTCTATCGCACGCAAATTTTTGCACTGATTTAGAGCTTGTTAGGATGGCAGAAAAAGGTTTGTGATGTATAGAGACTATCGAACTGTTCTGCTTCGCTGATCTTTGAAATCATTGTGGAAGGTAACCCTCATTTTTCTATAGATTCGTCTTCCAACCGGGTTTGCTAAATTCTGGAATTAAGGCAAGATGTATGAATGACGGAGTTTAAGAACCTGCAAGATTCAAAGAAGACATTTTTCACATGTGTAAACCCCCTAGAAAATTATTTCACAATTTATAATGACCTCCCCATTAAAATAAAATATAATTTTAATTATTTTTGTTAAAGTTAATTTTTATTAGGTTCCTGATTTCCATTCTTTTAAAAATACAAAAATAATAATTTAAATAACACCTATTTTAATGAATAAATAATTTTAATTGCTCAATCATTATATTTTATTTTTTAAATGGTGTAGGATCGCTAGTTGAACTATTGAATTTGTAGAAGTATTTTGGTTGTCACCTCGACGTAAATAATTTAATTTTATAAGAGGATAAACATACTCTTTTGAGTCAGGGGAGTTAATCATTGTTATTTATAGTAGATTCAAAGCTATTTTATAGGACTGTCAGTCTGCGCTTAGTACAACAATTATAATTTTGCACTTGTTATATGCCTCAATTATTGTTCTTGATGAAATCGCTAGATGCCTTAATTTATTGTTACAAATTTCCTGCACATCTGAATAAATTTGTAAATACAAAGTTTTTTTTTTTTTCTTACATTTTATTTTTATAAAACATAAAACTGCATAAGAATTCATATCCTATCATAAGCTTGGATGAAGTAGGATATTTCTTACATATAATTGGAAAACTTGGTATGTTTAGGTTTTGACATGTTGAATGGTGGAATTCTTTTAAATATTGAAGGAGGTTTGAGGAGCCCAAGGAATGATGACTCTTCAAAAAATCAACGGTTTCCTTGGGTTAGTATTGACCTTATCGGTTTCAGAGTGTCAGTTAAAACCGACAACATAAATGCAAATTGAAACTAAAAGATGACAGTTGTTGAGGAACGATGAAAAATTGCTATTGAATAGTAAATAGAAAACCAAAACAACAGTTAGGTGAGTGTCTGTCCAGAAAACAATGAGAATAATAAGAATTTTGATTTGAAATGATTGTATGTTTTCTTATGATAAGTAACTATATTTGATGTTAATCACTCTCTTATTGTCATATGATCTTATATATGCATGTAGTGATCATCATCCCGATTTGTTATGCATACCACATGCTCCATATCCCATGTTGTTTATGTTTTAATAAATAGATGTTATTTAGTGAGTTTGTTTGTCAAACTCACTCTTGATTTTTTGCATAACGAGTTTTATTCAGCCACTAGCGGTATCGTTTTCACTAGAGCAGGCTTTTCAGTTTTAGATTTCTTGTCTTGTTATTTTTTTCTCAGTATTTATTTTTTAACTATTATATTTTATATTTTGGATTTGAGTAGTTGTTTTTGTTATCATTTCCGCTTTGATTCAGCCAGCTTTCTATTTTTCTTACAGTTGTATCAATGGATTATTAATTATAAAATAACGTTTATATTTCCTAGTTTATTACTGTTATTATTTGCATATAATTTTCCTTTTGAAATACAAACACTTCATTTTATCAGACCCTACATTGTCGAGGTGTACCGTACCACCTTTGGGACTTGGGGTGTGGAAGTTCGTTCTTGTTCGACTCAATTTGACTTGAATTAATTAAATAATAGATAATTAATATTATTAACACATATATTAAACTTCTTTATTGTATGTATTTAAAAAATATATATTAAATTTTATTATTTTTTTAAATAATTTGAGCTAGACTTGCGAATGAATAACATCTTGCGTTGGACATGCAAATAATTGAGAATTGGGTGGTATGTATGTAAATTTCATGAGAAAAAAAAAAATTGTTCTTCCCTGCTTTTTCTCCACCTACATGTAGTCACACCATCCATTGAAAAACTTTGGTGCTCCAAAAATTTGCAAACAGCCTCTCTCCTTTCGACCATGTGAACTCACAGGGTTCTGTCTTCCCTCGTTTAATCCCGAGTTGGGCTTGAGCCACCCTCAAGTTGAGTTTAAGGTTGATTAATTTACTCGAGCTCAAGCTCGACTTCTCTACAAATTGACCCAACTTGTTTAGCATGAAAGAGGAAAAAAAGGTACTTATTTAAGTTAATAAAATAGTTAAATAAAAATAGAATAGGCATTTAGCAGATAATTATATAAATATTTTCAACATTTTAAATAATTTTAAAAATAATTGAATTTTAGTATATTTTATAAGAAATTTTTTTATATAAATATTTTCAACATTTTCAATAATTTTAAAAATAATTGAATTTTAGTATATTTTATGAATATTTTCTATAATTTATTTTTTAAACAAGGTAACTCACGAGCTAATGAGTCGAGTTGGGGCTAATTTTGGGCGAAATAGAGCAAGAGGGGAAAGAAAAGATAGAACGGTTGCTTTAATTTAATTTTCATTAATTTATTTTAATTCATTAATAATTGATAATTAAGTAATGTTATTATACATAACTATTTAATAAAAAAATGATAATTACTAATTAGTTTAATAATTAATTAATTAATTATATGTTAATGAATGTTAACTTATTATTCAACATGATTATTTTAATAAAACTATAATGGGTAATTAATTAATTCAATAAAAATTTCATTTTCATTAGAGAATATAAATAAAAATGTAAAACAAATTTAATTAGAACAAATAATTATATTATTTACTAGCAATACTAAGCTCATATTTCACATAATAGACCTAAATTTTGAAATATGTTGTAAAATAATTTTACCAAATTTGGCATTTGACATAATAAACAATTTTAAGGATTTAAATACCTTAAGATATACCAAGCCTAGATTTATGAATTCATTAAATCCTATTTCAATTAAGTTTTACTTGAAACCAAGCAACCTCTAATCTTTATTTTTTAGTTCAATCTTTTTTGCTTACTGGTTTATCATCCATTCTTATATACTTTTCATTGACACTTTTACATAAAGTTGATGTGTTTGCTCATATTTAGGATTTCTTCAATGTTAGATTCATTCTAATGTTTTGTTGATTTGAGAAGTTCGTTTGCTTTGTTTTAGCCCATTTGATTTAATTTTTTAAGGGAAAAATTAGGATTAATTTTTATTTTTTATCTTTGTTTTCTTTTATTTTTTATTTATTTATTTACTTAAAATAAAAAAAATATTTGGTATGTCATGACAACATTTAGAAGTTTTGAGTGTAAAAATAAACTAATTTATTTTTAAAAATGATAAATAAAAATACACTAAACAAACATGTTTTTGATATATAGACAAAAACAAAAAATAAAGTAATCTTAAACTAGCTAAAAAATACACTAAACAAACATGTTTTTTGATATACAGACAAAAACAAAAAATAAAGTAATCTTAAACTAGCCCTAAGATTTTACTTAGATCGAAGTAATTAGTAGTACCTCTTCTATGATAGTAGTGCATGTTACAAACATACAAACACTTTGATACATACATTTTCTTGTTAATGTTTTAATAGAAAAGTAAATATGGTTATCTGAGTTATAGCATATGCCAATTCATATTATTGATTTATTTAACATGTTCTTTGAATTCTCTTGATATTTGTTCAAATCTTTTGTATTTGCAAGTTTCACATGAATATGTATTCCTTTCTATGCAAATTGGGAAACAACTTCTCTTTCTTCTCTGATTTCTGGCTAAAAGGCTCACCTATTTATGAAAACATGAAGATGTTAATTATTCATGATTATCTTGCTCTAGAGATGCTAAAGGGAACTTACACTCTCATTAAAACACTTATTTCTTCTATAAGAAGGCCATCCCAAGCTTTTTGGCACAACATTATATCATTTAAAGGCCACTCTTATAAAAATGGCTCATTTGCTTGGAAAAAGAATGATTGGAGGCTTAAAAACACTAGACGTCATCTCATATAGGTATCACAAACTCATCCATATGTCTTTTTTGCAAAGCAAATCATGAATCATATTCCACCTATTCTTTGAATCTCAGGCATTATACCTTATAGCGATTTTTTCACCATGGCTGCAATTTAGCCTAATCTTAGTCTATTCTGATAATATTTCATGCCAAATTATCAAAAGGTTTTTTCCATCGACTGTGCACATTACTACGCATTTCATATGGTAAGAAAGAAACTGCTGAACTTTTAGAAGCACTGAAGAACATAATGATGTTCTTAATGATAATATGAAGTATGCTAGTTAAGTAAAAAATGGAAGATAGAAATTCAGGAATCAGATTCCTAATAGATTTGTTCGTCTTTATAACCTCCAAGGGATATAGTCCTTTTTTCTGGATAAATCTATTTTGTCAATCAGTTCTTTGCAGCTGTTTTTAATGGATATTCACTTATTTACTGGATTTCTCCTCTCATTAATGGCGAGGAACAAAGTATTTTACATTGGTGGAATTATTTGTGCGTTATTTGGCCTTTCTGGTTCAACCTGCAAGCTTCGGTAAAATTCTTGCATTTTCCTTGCTTTTTTGACTTATCTAAGGTCCTCATGTCTATATATATTTTATATATGAGACCTTATTTTTGTAACCATCTTTTAATATTGACAAAATTAGGCTTGACCCTCAATATTCCCACAAAAAGAAATTACTAATAAAAAATAAAATCACATGAACATGTCCTAAAAATTCATTCTGGAATTCTGCACAGCATACTAGTTTAGTGGCCATCAGTTCGACCCAATTACTGTTTAAGCTATTTTTTTTTATCCCCCTTACATTTTTCACTTGCAATGCAAATATTTTTCACATGTCAAGGTCTAATTTTGTTACTAAGGCTTCCCAAGCCAATTAGTTTAATATTCAAGTATAATTAAAAAAAACGTTTAGGAATTTCACACTTATGCTGAATTTCTAATTTTCTTTATTAAAATTTTTTTTTCAAGGAAATCTAAACCAAGAAAAATTTCCAATTATCTCTGTTGATATCTAATTGATGTAGCATCTATGTATGAGTGAATATTGAGAAATGGAAAATAAATAAAAATTTGATTTCTAATGAAAATTTTCTACTACAAGAAATATAAAAAAAGGTAAATAGCGACATTAAACTAAAGACCTGCCTGAATTTATAATTGCCTTTGTCACTCCCAACCACCAAGTCTCTCTCCTGGGTCATAATTTGTGAAGAGTCTGAACTCATTCCCAAGCTTGTTAGAGTGTTGAGGCCGGAAACCACAAGAATATGCCTTCAACAACTTGGCCGCACTCTCCTTCTGCACCTCTCCTGCAACAATGCAAAAGAATTATGCAACTTGTTTTTAAGCCGTCAGTCCAAAATGACTAGTCAGAAAGAGTACCAATCTAAGAAAGAAATCGTTGAAATTCAACGGATGATCCCACAAGAGTGAGATGTAAAACAAAATTTTGCATTGGTGGAACATTTATATTCAAGTTAACTGGTAGTTTTGAACATCTAAATCACAAATATGCACTATTCATCATAACCATACTCATAACTTTGGAATACCCCACAACTTACAAGAACCAAAAATATATATTTTTAATGTGGTTTCTACTAATCTAAATCACAAATATGCTATTCATTTGGTATCAAATAATCTCCCTCTTATTCTATCTCTTTCATGTTTCTTCTCTTTCCCATCAAAAATATCTTTTTTCACTACAATAAATGTTATTCTTAAAATCTCTCCCATCTAATCATTTTTTTTTCACTAATACTAAGTTCTTATCACACATTCATCTTAGATTCACATCAACATCTAATGTGGCAAAACTGAGTTAGTTAGGTCTCGTTGATTATTTTTAAACTTAGTTTAAAGCAAGTTAAAAAATTAAAAAGGATCAATCCAACACACAATATAAGTTGCCAGAAAACATGATCTCAAGTTTCACCTGTTAAAGATACTCAACATATTTTTTCAGTAATCAACAAAAAACTAGATGGGCACCAATTTAATTTATAGTTATCACAAAACTTAGTATATGGTATCAAGGTCATTTAACGTCATCAAGATATTCACAAAATGAAGTTGACAATTAACCAAAGCTTTTTGTCAACTTAAAATGAAGTGACATCAACGGTACTAAAAGTCGTCCTTTAAATGAAATTCGTTATGAATTATGCATATATTTTGATAATTATAAGCTAGCAAAACTAGTTTATTCTATAGCAAGTACTTGCTGAATTTTGCTATGTTATGTTCCTTGCATTAATCAAATGTAACCTTTCCTATAGCATTGTATTTCAATCTAAGCCTATAAATAGAAGGTCGAAGGATGGACATTGGAGATCAGGTCATGTACCATGTTTGTACATTTGATAGCAATGATAAAATTCCAAAGCTTATCTCTTTCTCTTCCTTTTTTATTGTTCTCGATCCATTTTTATGAATAAGGTAATGATGTTAACGACACACATGTTCAAATCCAACAACTTATTTATATACGATGAACATAGATGATACCTATGATAATAAGTTGAGCAATGCATCTCTTAGATGAAAGGGAAAAATCAATGAAAAGGAGCAACAAAAATTTCACTTATGAATCATATGAAATACCAGTTGAAAAACAAGATCGAAAATTTTAGAATACTTTTGACAAAATATCTTCTATATTATTCTTCTCTATCAGCAAAATGTCATCAACTCACCACATTATCATCAACTTCATTTTCCCTCATCAAACTCCATTCAAGTGCCTAAGAGAGAATAAAGAAAAACTTCACATCCCCACCAATCTTAAAAAAAAACTCTTTTTTAAATCAAACAATGCTTTTACCATTCATATTATAAAAACTCAATACATGTTCTTGAAGCTTATACAATGTAAAGTTAAATCCAACATATCATATTGCTTAGATTGAGTCGATAGTCTATCGCCTCACTATAAGTGATGTTACTAAATTTCAGCACTCATCATTGAGTTTAAGGAGGCACCATTAAAAAGTTTCTCAAGAATTCCTCCAGAAAGCATCACAAGTTTTTTTGAAATTCAACCGATTTCTTGTCACACTATTCACTAATGCATAAAGGTACTTGAAAAACTCACAGGCCAATTTGAATTTCAGCAAGAAGTAGAAGCAAGTGAATTCATCCAACATTGGACAATTTGATTTCAACTTGAGATGTTGAATGTTAAAGATTTGGAACCTATTATCACCTAGACCACACTTAGTCTAAAGGAAAAACCATTTAGATATGCTCTTAGATAACAAGTAATGATTCTAATTAGAACCTGCCAATAGTCATATTAATGCAAATAGTACAGTAATATTGAATTTTTTACTTTGAAAACTTGGCATTTGAAATTTGCCAGAGACTTGCAGTGATATCACGAATATCAACCGAATAAACACGATTGAGACTTCAACTCGACAAATACTAGATCACACCATAGAAATAGACATCTATATCATCATCATTAATGATGGTAAACATGTACACCCACACACCCGTACACCCCATTGGAGTATTGTATGGAAAATTAGAGAATGCAACTAAAGATAAAGAATACATTTGTCAATCGCCTTAACTATAAATACAATCTATGCTAGATCAGTTAAATCATTATATATTTCACAAAGATACAAAGGAGTGCTGGCATCTTTGTAATATTGTCGAAGAGTACATGGAAGATGAAAATTTTATGGAGTTTGTGCTTGTCAGTCCTGAATGACCATCCAAAAAAATAAAAGTATTAATATATTTGATTTATTTTTCTTCCTAAGATAACCTAGCTTTTAAGAATACTTCATAAAACTTAGTTTTGAAACATAATTCATTTATATTTGGGAAATTTGTCATAGGAACTCGACATTAAACACAAAAGAACTATCCTAGGAACTTAACAAGTACAACTGAAAAGCTCTTGCAAGAAAACAACAAAGTATTTGAGAAATAAGCACAAGAGGTTTAATATATGTGGAATCCACAAAATTGAGAATTATCAAAAGGTTCAAATCCTGAAGCTAATATTTGTTTATTCAGTTTAAAGTTAGAACAAATTTCAAATTTGTAACTCAAAAAATTGACAACTCAATATTAATTAAAAAATATGAATCTTAAAGGCAACCCTTTGGTTAAGAAAGTAGTAGACTAACTTGAGTTTAGGTTCAAAATAATCTAAATCCATGGTCAAGTTTAGAACTTATCTGACTAGTTCTTATAGGAGAGTTATGATCATTTGGTAGACCGACAATCAACACTGAACAAAGTAACTCTAAAACTTAAGCTAAACTATGAGTTTCGTTTAAAACAATAATATTGTTTACTAGAAAACTCATCAACTCAATAATTTGACAATTAGCCTACTCAACAATTTATCTATTCAATACTCGATTATTGTTTTTAAAATTTGATGATATTCTAAATTTCTCTTAATATTGCATAAGTCCCATCACTCACATAATTATTTGAAATATGAAAAATTAAGCTTCAATTTAGACTCTCCTTTTTTCAATAAGATTTAAATTCAAAAAGATCAAAGTACTTTATAATGGCAAGTCTAGGTAACTCCACTAAGACAAAAGCTTTGGCTTATATTGAAGTCCATACAAGATATTGGCTGGCATAAAATTAAGACAAAATGCTAGATAAGTATTTGGCAGTGATATCACATATTGAAAGAAACACTTTTATTATCCACTTAAAAATTTCTTGATGTTTAATCCAACCAACACTACTAAGTATGAATTCAACAAATTATTTTAAATCATAGCTTCATCATTTGTTTACTTTGCTCATTACTAATGATTTCTACTCAGATTACACATAAAGAACACACTAAGAAATGATATTTCAGGAAAGAGACTTCATTTATTAAAAAAGTTTATAATTTATTTGAAAAGGAGCGCAAAAAAATAAAAATTTTTAAGTATTTAAGAATATTTATCTGACTTTTTTTGTTTTTATACTTCTTGAAAGACCCTTGTCTTTGGCTAGCATAAGTTATTATAAAAAAAAAGAAACTTAAATCATATCATACATGATTGAGCACCACATGGTTCTTTAGAATATACAGAGAGAATATAATATAATTTTGGTACTTGCCCTTGATCTAATCCTAATACTCATTAGGCTCAATAAACTCATTAATAATTATGATTTTTGAATATTATGAACTCTACTCAGCCTTATCTTCCTATGAATTCTTCAATGATCCATCTAACTCAACTTGAATACAAAAGATGAACATCTACAATTTGAGAGGTAGTGATCTCTCCAAATTTCTACAATTCAAGAAGTAGAAATCTCACACAAACCCTCAACCTGAGATTCACAACAATAATCTCATTCATACCTAACCCTAAACTCATTATGGTCTATTTATAGTAAAGAAAAGTAAATAATAAGACCAAATTGTCCTTAGGCACACAAAAGACAAAATTGTCTTTAGGCTAGCACCGACATAATTACACCTTCCCATTGAGGTGGTAAAAAGAGAGGCATTCCTCCACCACTGCCCTCTGTTTCTTCATCCGCTGTCTCCTCGTCACACACTAAAGAACATGCAACTGTTCGATCATTTCAATTGTCTCTAGAGATAAACTTCTCATCCCACCGAAAACATAACTCCTTGGCTCGCTTTTCCTGAATCTCTGCCTCTATAAGGTACTCGAGTGTCGCTTTCAGTTGTGACCTATCATTATTATCTTGTGAAGTCTCTCTCTAAACTTCAACTATTTGAGCTTTTGGCATTTTCGTGGTTGTAGTAGTTTAAAATGACGCTCCACTGTCGGCCGTTTTATTGTTCAACTTCACTTTCGTAGTTTGAAAAAGTGATGATTTTGTGATTTTGAAAATAATTTAAATATAAATATAACTTTTTTAAAGAAGTAACATTTTAATTTTTAAAATAAATGAGACCAAACGAGTCTCACATTTTTAAATAGTTTAGATGATTTAATACAATACTACAAGCAATACATTTATCCCGAAGAATAAATATATCACTTGTAATAGGGATTTAATCATCTAGACTAAACAATTTGTGACATCCGTTTGGTCTGCGAAATATTTTTATAAAAAGGCCAACAAGTTCCCCTATCTAACATAAAAATTAGATAAGGTTTATTTTATCTGGGTTCCTGGTTCCCTATAGAGGCTATAGTTAATTACATCTTAACTGATCGAAATCACTTAATATAACACTCGATTAAGATCAGGTGGTTTTGCTTTTAAGATTTATTCCTGGTTCCCTATAAAGGCCAGCCCCTATAGTTAATTACATCTTAAATGATCGAAATCAGTTAATATAACTCTC